TTGGCGTTGGGCTAAACAACATCATCTACTTGACAGGAGTCAAACTTACAGCTAAGAGCTTTGTGGCCGTGAGGCCATAGACTGTGCTGGGCTGAAGCAGAGGGCTGCAATTTCCTGCTGAGGTGTGCCATTGCAGAATGCAGTTTCAGAGTAGTTGGGTCATAGACTGGGAAGGTGACTGTCTTTTTTAGAAATTAGGTCACTGATCTCGGAGGTGGTATCCTAGTTGCCTCTTTTGGCTTCAGAGACTATGTATTCTGCTGAAGGACAGTCTTGAGAGTACAAGTGCAAACTGAAGTTACACACTGCTAGGATTATGGCTAGCTCTTAAGTTGGAGAGTCATGCTTAGACTTGCTCTTTTTTGCCTGTACCTGCTACAACAGAAGAGTTGGAGGTGCCTAATAAGATCATTTTCAAGCAGTTAGAGAAAAAGCTTGGATCTTCTGGTGCCTTCTGCATACACACAGTGTAAGAAGTAGGTGTGATGTCACCTTTTTTGGTTGTCCTAGTAACAAGTTAAGCTGTTATTCAGGAGAACATGTACTGGGCTCTGCAGACAGGGTAGGTGGAAGAACTCTCACTTTTGGATTTGAATAAATTGTAGCATGAATTGTTTGTTGCTATCAAGACTGAATGCACCTGCATGTGGCCACAACAGAGTGCCAGGGTGCGGATGCACAGGACTGGACTGCAGCTAAGCAGGGGGGTTGAGCTTGGCAGTTGGAGGGGGGTGTGCGTAGAATGGATCTAGGTGAGAAAATCAATATTACAAGCAGGAACTATAGAAAAGCCTTGAGATTTACACCATCACTTCATTGCATGGAATAAGGCAGAAATCCTGCAGAAAGAGTAGTTTGGGCCTTGACACTATCTAAATGTATGATCACATGTGGGGCAGAGGGAGGTGTAACGATGGGCAAGCTGCTCAGTCTAGGAGTACATTTTCAATGCCCAATTTAAGCCCAAAGCTTTTTTTTTAATAGTTATAGTAGGTGTATGTGGAATGAAAGGGTGTGGAATATTACTGCATTATCACACAGGTATTCTAGCCTTGTGTACTCCCCTCTCTTCTCAAAAGTACTTGTATTTGAACTACATCATCAGCCAACCCCACAAGCCTTGAAGCCGAGATGAAGAAAAATAATTGGTCAGTAGTAGGTACTTCATGGTAAAACATCATTATAGTACCTACACCTATGCATAACCCACACTGCTGTCGCGGGGCTGCTGAATCTGTGAAAATGGACCAATTATTTGGTACTCATCCATCAAGAGATTAGGCAGTAAATATACTAATTGTATATTAGTAAGTATACTAATGGAGCGCTAGTGTAAACTGTTGAGGGTAGGTAGCTGGGAATGACCCCACCCCAGTAAAAGCGGAGTGTAAAACAGGTAGGTTCCTTGCCTAGCCACCAACTCAGAACAGTCTGAGGTAGGAGAAAAGCTCCCAGAAAGGTTTGCAATTATATTTCTAGGCGATGTGTTAATGAACATATCAAGCTGATTGCTCAAGCAAGAATATTCGGTAATTAGCAGTTACGTCTGTGGTATGAGTCTTACGAGGCAGATAACCACTTTGAAGAACTGTCTGCAGTTCAGCCTGCTGGTGGCGAATGATGCAGGAAGATCTCAGAAATAGTTTCAGAACTGGCTCAACAGTACAATAAACCACTGCAAGAGAGGAGCCTGAGGAAAGACATCCTTGAGATATAAAAGCGATTAATCTCTAGAGATAATCCAGACGGGATGCTGCTGTCCTGTCTGAACTCAGTGGGTGAACTGCAGTAACTGGGGTATATTAACTTGTTTGCTGGAGCAAGGAGGGTAGTGTCACTGGCATCAAACCATCAAGTCAGTTGTACTAATTTATTTCCTACCACAATTAAACTGGAATCACAATATGATAGGAAGAAGATTTTAGGAGTATCTTTCCTGCCTTTCTTTAATTCATACTATTTAAAGTATCATTGCTTTTTCACACTCATGGTAAAAAAAAAAAGTGAAGTCACGGCTGAAGTGTTTTAAAAATGTCATTCCTGTAGTGTTAACATTCTCTCTTTTTTCCATCAATCTGCTATGCCTGTTTCATTGTATCTTGCTGTAAGGATGCTGCAGAATTAGAGAAAAAGCACAGCCTTTCTCTGCTGATCAAGTTTAGCTCATACCTGACACTTCGTAAAAAGCGCAATTAGTGTATGATAGCAGCTGATTATCAGTGAGCTCAAAAGAATCTATCAGTACTTAAAGAAAAAAACTTGGATGTGAAGGGCATGTCTTTAGCCAAGTAGCCATTGAAAACCTGATAGAAGTGCCGACTTTTTTAATTACGTAAGGAATCTTGTTACAATTCAGATTACTAGAGCTGGGAATGGGAATGAGCAATCATTTGGGAGTGGAATTTCCGATTGTAAGACATATTTACAGAAAAGCCACAGAAGCGTTACAAAGGGATTTTACTACTAGTTAGATTATTCTCTCTGTTTAGGCATGAACATGGTCCATCTGTGCATGAAACTGAGTTGTAAAATTTTGGTCTGTGCAGGAATATTGCGTTTTGACTTCAAAAGGAGCTCAGGATTATTCTGTGGAGTTTATCCTGGAGAGTAGAGCTGTTGTAAACACATGGAGTTAAGCTGCAGGACTTTGATTTTTTTTGCAGGAGAGGTCTCCTAGAGTTGCCTGGTGAAAACCATGCCTCGGAGGGCATTATCTAATTGTTCACAGCACTGAACAATTCTAGTCTCCTAGTCTATGGGAAAATTGCAAAGTATATGATGTTTCAGGGACCTAAACTAATAAATCACTAGTTCAAATTGTGAACAGGGCTTTGCAGAAATCTTGTGCAAAGGAAATGGCAGGAAGAGAGTGACCTATAAAACAACAGGAATAGGAAATCTGCCAATGTCAAAAGCTTTTTAGAGGCTTGGTCTTTGAGGGGAGAGTCGATGTTCACTGGTGTTCATATGGAAGACTGAGGAATGGCTGAGTTTGGTGAGTGACTGTAGCTGCAGGGAAGGAATCAGTGATGAGGAGATGGGTGGGATTAGAGATGGAAGGACAATCGCTGTGCCTAGTTCCGTTGAATACAGGATTCCTTTCTGAAGAGGGAAGGGGAAGGAAAAAAATTAATCATAGCCATGGGAAGGGTCATGTCTGCCTCAGCTCTTGGAAGACTGCAGGAGGAACATGGACAAAGCACCAGGTCTTTGTGGGAAACATCAGCTGAGAATTCGGTATTGTAAGCCTATCAGTGGCAGCACAGTTGAGGCTCCTTGACAGCAATGGTTTGTCAACAGAGACAGAGCTCTATTCTTTTTGCAAACTTTAGTAATAAAGATTATGCCTCTTGATCTGTGTGCCTTCGCTGTAACAGCTAGAACAGCCTGTCGCTCCTCTTCCTTCTTGAAAAAAGGCTCTACCTGCTGTGTTGATTGATTGAAGCTCACTGGAGACAGAGGAAGATTTTAACACTTGACTTGAGGGCTTCTCTTCATAAGTTTAACTAGACAGATAGCCTTAAAATGTGTTTCAGAGTTCAGATTTGCAGAGGGAGAACACAAAAAAGGGAAACACCTGCACTGTTGGGACGGCAGCAATGTTGTGACAGTATAAAACAATTGCTTTAATTAAAATTCTCTGAAGACAGGAAATCCTTTCTAAGCATAACCCAAACTAACGGTGTTTTGCTGCTATACACAACACTTAGTAGCGCAGTGGCAGTCGCTACTGCAGCGGTATCTACTGGACTGCGTAGGTGCCGTAGCGGTTATTTCCGAAGTCCCTGGGGACTGAACAAGTATCTGCAGGTACTGTAAGTGCAGAACCTACAGGTCATATTCCTGCTTCACTCCCTCCAAAAATACCCCCCTTGATCGCTGTGTATTTAAAAACATTCTGGGACCATGCTACAGCGTGCAGAGGCACCGTTCTTCAAGGGAATCCTGCTCCTGTGCCCTTCAGAAGAAAAAACTTTTGAGAATCCCATATTCAAAAGGAATAGTGATTTTATTATCCTTGGAAATATTTACCTCTTTTTGTAACCGCAAGGCAATACAAGCAAACCTCTGTTACCTATTTATGTGCTTTTCCACTGTGACAGGGGAAAATGCAACTGTGTATTTTAAAGCCTTTATAAACCATTTTAAAGTAACAGCTGTGTACATTAGAATGGACTTTTTTCAGGTAAAAACAATTTGAGAAATTATAAATTTAGTTAGATTATTACTTAAAATGAGATTCAATTAAATTTAAAAAAGGAAGACTCTCAACTCAGAAAAGCCATTTCTGTACAAATGGAAGTTTTTGTTGTGGAGGGTATTAAGCTTCAAAGATGGCAAGTACTGAGATTGCCTGGAAAAGTACTACTAGTTTTTCTTTAAAAAAATAAAAGGAGGGTATTAACTTCAAAGATGGCAAGTACTGAGATTGCCTGGAAAAGTACTACTAGTTTTTCTTTAAAAAAATAAAAGGCGGGGAGATGAAAGTTTTGCTGATAGTCATTCTCCTTTTACTCTTGGTTACTTGTATCTGTGTGGCGAATGAACAAGAAAAGGAAAAAAAATGCTCAAAAGACAAATTGACAGCACAGAAAACTGTAATTACTTAGACACCTTAAACAATTCAGACATGTTCAGCAACAGAAACAAAAGTCACTTCCAAACTAACTGCATTTCAGTTATGGCTATTCAAACGGCTTATTCTTCAAAAGATGAAGAATTCTCGTTATAAAATGCATCATTTGATATACATTATGTAAATCAAGCTTGTAATATTTTTTGGTGCCAACCAGAATCACATAAAAGAAAAATCCAAACCAGAGTGACTGTGCTGCTGCAGCGCAGAGCTGTTAGCCGTGTCACAGCTGAGGTGTCTGGCTTAATCACCAGCATTGCTTTGGAGACGTACACTGGTTTCGCAACAGTTTTCAAGGATGAATCGTGTTGTAAAGCAAAACCGCGTTCCTATCAAACTAAGTAACCTTTGCTTTGTGTCACAGGAATCATGTATCGCAAATCCTGCGCATCTTCAGCAGCGTGTCTGATAGCCTCTGCTGGGTACCAGTCCTTTTGCTCTCCAGGGAAGGTGAACTCTGTTTGTATCAGCTGCTGCAACACTCCACTCTGCAATGGACCCCGGCCGAAGAAGAGGGGGAATTCTGGCGTGGTGCCGAGGGCACACGTGCTAACCACCGTTCTGCTCCTTAAATTGGCTCTTTTGGTTTTGTATTGCTAAACTTCAAGCAAGTTTTTTGCCCTGACACAGTTTGTTCTGTCTCCTCCTTTCTTCAAAGGCACTGCAATTATTTTCTGTTTGTTTCCAAATCCCTGTCAACAGCGAGGGAAGTTCAGTAGTTGTGGGGAGAGGGGCTGGTATTTTTGGCAGCTAACGAATTCAGTTAGCAGATTGAATTTCCAGTGTGCACTTAATCTCAGCAGCAGGGATACAGAACTCCTGCTCTTTTTGCATAATTGGAAACAAATCCATCTGTGTTACTCCTTTTAAGATGTAGTCAATTCCTCAGTCATTTTAATTTCCATGTTTTTAGGTTCATTGCTAATCGTTAACTTTGCCTTATGAAGTCATACTTGATGTTCACAAAGGCTGTTTTGTGCATCTGGACTGGGCTCTGAACTAGTCTCTAGTGGCACTACTTCCAAGCTGGGCTCCGGTGGTTCAAGACCCTGTTTCTCTGGCCTGCAGTCAGGCTTGGTCTCGTTCTGAAAAGTACTTAAGAAAAATTTGTTACTGCCCCTTGTAGAAGAATTGCGCCTAGACGAAATGAAGAGCAGTGGGCGTAGAGACCGACTGCTCCTTGCTCTGGAGCTCAGGTTGGCTCTGAGAAACTTCTCCTTGTTGGCATGCTCGATTGTCAGGTGGCAGCGGAGGACCTGCAGAAACACGCTGCGGAACTGCTGAGAAGAGATGTTGTACAGGAGGGGGTTCACCACCGAGCTGAGGTAGAAGAAGATGTCGGCGATGGGAAGAAGAGTGATGTACGCTCTGAAATAGGGGACAGTCCAGTCCTGCTTTGGTTTGACAGCAGCCATGATCCTTCTAACCTGGTTTGGCAACCAGCATATTGCCAGACTTGCAACAATCAGTCCTGCAAACAGAAAGAGGAAGACAGAAGTGTGCGTATATGGGGGAAAAAAAACATAAAATACTTAGTATCAGTTCTGCACTTACTTGCTTGAAAGCTTTTTCTGCCAGTAGCATTTTTTGTTGGTTGTTTTTAGTAACTGTTACAAGGTCATTGCAGCACATGCTCTGACAAAAGACTGCGTAGTGCTTGGATAGTGTTTCTTTGTACCTATTGTCATTTATTAGTTTTCAAAGCGTTCTTTCATTGATATCTGTATCTTTGGAAAGAACGCATTTTTATTTTGGTTTGTGTTCTTACAGTTCTTATGTCTTTCCCTTTACTTTGAAAAACAAACAAAGTAAATAGAACCTTTAGCCATATTAGATCAGGCAATACCCAGAAGAGATCAGATTCTTGTTTGTACTTTACAAAAAAAATAATGTATGCATAATAATATATTTCATGTTATTTTTGGTAAATTTCCTCTTACAGAAGATATTTTTAAGTAAAAGTATGTATGGATCTTTTTATGGTAATTAAGATATGTTGGGCTTTCTTAAAAATCAAATTCCAGTGGAATTAAATTATGAATGTAAATGAGAAAAACCCAAGCCTAGTCATGAAAGTGTAAGCAGTTTCAGATTATAAATTATGCTTAAAAATGTGGTATCTGACCATTTTGTATTTATATGTAAATATAAATACATGTTGCTGCATCACTAATGGCATTAAAAAGGGGGTGACGTAAGTGTTGGATGTCTGAAAATTCTGCCTCTGTGGACCGGCGTTCACTAGGGTTGCAGCGGTGATGCCGTCTTCAGAACAGCAGCCCTGAAGGAACGTATGGGTGAACTTGAGCAGGCTCTGTTCCCAGGCAGGAGACGGAGCAGGGGAAAGGCACTCAAATCCTCGCTAGCATCCACTGCTTCTGGTGCACGTAAGCGCTGGAAGACCTGACATCCTGCATGAAATACCAGGTACCCAAAACAATTCCTCTCGGTGCTCCCCCCACCAGGCATTACTTCTGAAACACAACACAGCCACCAGTTTACTGGTTCCACTTCGTTTTTCTCTTTGCAGGAAACGTGCCTTATATGAACGCTTAGAGGGAGCAGAAGTTGCAGGTTGGCTTCCCTGCTGCAGAGGCACAAAATAGTAGAGAGTATCCTGATGGTGCACAGTTTTCATTTCCAGTCGACTTTTGTTATATTGTTAATCTCCTCCAGCGTCTAGCCGCCTTTCTCAACAGAAGCACAGAAATGTCTTAATTCTTACCTGTCTAGACTGAGTCAGATTGCCCCCCCCGAACAGATCACTGTAGGAACGCAGTTGTGAAATAGCACACACTGCTTTTTCAGGCTGGGAAAATGATACTTTGCTAGTGGGAAGACATGAATGTAACGGGGAAGGGGGGCAGAAAAGAGAAGAAAGATTTTTCGTAACTTTGAAACTGCCAGGGCTTAAACAGGGTATGTCCAAGTTCTCTCCACCTCCACCCCCAAGCAAAGAAAAGGTATGAAATGTCTTTTTTCTTTTTTTTTTAAGAAATTAATTTTCTTAATGAAAGCTATAATTACTTTAACATATTTATGATCTCACTGAATGAGCTACCAAATAAAATTTGTCTTTTTGATCACTTGCTTCTGTAATCACTTAATGTGACAATAATTTTGGTAGGATGGGGAAGTAGCGTACCTTAAACTCACAGCACTAGATTAAGAGCCCTGGAAGGCTGTTCTTAGTAGGCAGGTGACAAATGCATTTACCTTTGCTGCTTTCTGTTCTTTAACTACCGTAACTCTCCTCGGCCACAGTCTCTCTATTCTCATTCCCATTCCTACACAATCCCATGCCCCTTTGCTTGGCTGCCCTACTCTTCCCCTGCTGCCTTGCCTCATTTTTCAGCACCTGTTGTGTCTCTGTCATAAGCTGATCTGAATTTTGCATTAGTCCTACAAATTTTCTAGCCTTCAGTGCTTTTTTTCTCTGCTGTCAGCCTAACAAATACAGGGACAGCAGTCCTTGCACGGACCAGCAGAAAATAAGGAGCCCTGAGCAGTGACTTGTGACAGGCCTTATAAAAAGACGGCGAAGGGATGCTACGGCTCCGTTGTGGCTTTTTCTCCTGTGCAACTTAAACGCAAAGCCCACAAACACAGGTCTGCAGAATTCTTGTCAAATTTTACCAGATGATCTCTTTCAAGGGAAAAGAAAATAAGCTCTATAGTGTAATTTTTATGTTCTTGGTTAGAAACAGGATACTTCAGCGTGCTGATTAATAGTTTCCTAAATTATGAATGCTGCTGTGAAAAACTGAGCAAACAATGCGTGCATTCAGTTTTAAAGCTCAAATGCAGCACTCCGAGATGTCTGATTTTTTGCTTCTATCTGAATTCTTTGCCATTGACCTTTCTTTTTAGTTCGAACTGCCGAAAGCTTAAGATTCCCCCTTATATTCTTCAGACACTTTTGTTCCAGGGAACTGAATATTTCGTCGTGTGTACAGCAAGTGAAAAATGAGCTGCTTGTGCCCTTGCACAGTGCGGTGAGGTTAATCTTTTGGGGGGTGGGAGGAGATGTCTGTAAAACTTTGTTGTTTTCCAGGGATGAGTAATTGTTCATTTTTACACTTGAAAAAGATGGTTGTTGATTCAAAGGAGATGCACCATGTAAGTAAACACACTGACAGATTCACAATATCTTTTCCAACTGTTCACACTTGACGTGGAGGTATGAAGTAAACTGAAGTGCATCAGAAGAAAAGCTTTATGTTCGGACCTTAGCATATTAAATAGTTTGACTGAATCACTCCTGCCATCAATTTGAACTTGCACACAGGCTGTAGAAGTTTGTGTTGTACTGTAATGTGCAGAAGGTGCTTAAACAGTGTTGTATCAGCTGGAATGTAAACCAGACTGCATCTTAGAGCAGTGCTGATGCATTTTTCCCTAGAGCTTGCTGCCTGCTAGGAAGCAAACTCCTTCACATTTCACCTCTCATCTAACCTTCCCTTCTCCTTATCAAAGCAAAAAAAACTAGTAGCTCCATTTTTTTTTCCATTTTCCTGACTACTGCGCTGAAGTGACACACTAGATGAGAGCAGAGATTTATCTTACATGGAATGATGATGTTAATAAACAAAGCAATGCTGTGGTCCAGCAACCTCCATCACTGGCGCTTGAAATTTCCAGCACGCGTTTGAATCACTCGGTTTAATCATCAAAAGTGCGTTAGACCATGCCAACAGAAGCCAGGAGGCCTCGTGTTTCCTAGTTGACTATGTGTAAGTGAATGCATCTCAACCTTTAAGTAAGTGTTCGAGCTTATAATTCATTTAACATTGATGTCGATATTTCAAGGTAACAAAAAAAAAAAAAAAGACATGAAAACATCCTTGACTAAAACCATTTTAAAAAGCTAAGCCACAAAACAGCCACAAAATAGTTTACCCAAAACAGGAATTGCCACATTCAACTTCTATTTTAATCTGAAAAAAACCCCACCCCCAAACCTCTTTAAAAATAAAGCATACAAATTTAACAATGATTGAAATTTGGGAATTGTTACTGTAACTTCCCAAAAGTGGATCTTACAGTATTAATTCTTAGTATGTGATAAAGGATCATTTATTTATGTAGTAAAATAAACTTAGCGTTTAAGTGCCAATAATATAAATATGCATTGCTGGCATAGAATAGGAGTTTGGCAGTCATCTGTCCCTTAGCAAAACTTTTTTATTACTCGGAACATTCCTCTGGGCCATAGGGGACCGAGTTAAATTCATTATGAACTTTATTGGGAAGGATTTTAAATACATGCAAATGTCTGGTATAGTAGAGAGGGCTTCTCTCTCCACCCTTCCAGATTTTGCTTGTTCTTCTGTCGAATAGATTTTTGTCTTTTTTTTTCCTGCACCTGAGCACTTAAATCTCTCTCCTTTTATAGTCCAACATTTCCCCTCGATCCTGGCCACTGCCAGCCATCCACAAAACTTGGAATTGTCTACAAAATTATAATTGTCACTAGGAGATGCCAACAACACGCTTTAGTTGGCTGCCGTAGCCTGTTAACCGAGGCTGGGGGGGGG